ATACGATATGTTTGAGGCTAAGAGTGTACTACTGGCGACTGAAGATGTGTTACTGGTATCATTTCCTAAATTGACCATTTCTATCATAGGTTTCCCTCTGAAAGTTATTAACTTTCAATTGAACTATCATGACCAAGGCTCTGAAGGCACATGCTCATCTCGATAAAGCCGAACACTGGTCAATATTTACATATTTGAAATTCATATTTGAATGTGACGTCCTAGATTTTCGCAAAGTCCTCTTAAGTTGAATATTATTTCTCACACTTGTATCTGTGTCTGTAACTTTATGTGAGAGGAGCTTTTCAAAACTAAAACTTGTTGTGCTTTTTAACTATGAGCGATTTACCTTGGTACAGCCCAGGCTCTCTGGTTTTGTTAATTGAAGACTTAAGGTGAAGAGTATTAATTTTGATAAAGTGAGTGTCAGATTTGTATCCGTGAAGACTGTGAAGTCAAGTTGTTACCTTAAAATTGAATGGTGCCATAAAAGTAGTTCCACACTGTCACCTCAATTACTGTGTTTTCTTCTTATTTCTTGTCTTGCTTAAGGACATAATTTACTAACAATACTACAACCGATTCTGTATGATCTGGCGCAGGAGTGAAGGCCTGAAAAAAAGTGTGTGGTGACACGAACCCTAATGCAACAAACCCTAGTGACATGAACCCTAGTGACACGAACCCCAGTGACACAAACCCTAGTGACAAAAACCCTACTGACACAAACCCAGTGACACAAACCCTAGTGACACAAAGCCCCGGTGACACAAACCCTAGTGACACAGACCCTAGTGTCATGAACCCCAGTGACACGAACCCTAGTGACACAAAACCCAGGGACACAGACCCAAGAGACACAAACCTTGTGACACAAACCCTAGTGACAAAAACCCCAGTGACACAGACCCTAGTGACACAAACCCTAGTGACACAAACCCTAGTGACACAAACCCCAGTGACACAGACCCTAGTGACACAAACCCCAGTGACACAGACCCTAGTGACACAAACCTTAGTGACACAAACCCTAGTGACACAAACCCTAGTGACACAAACCTTAGTGACGCCTCTAAGACTAAATACTAAATAGAGTTCCTATAAGAAAGAATGAGGGCACCCCTCCCGGCCTAATGTTCCACTAGATACATGATATGCCATGTTTCATTTACCCCCACCCATTTGCCTCCCCTTACTGTTTTCAACAACTAATGTGTCTAAATGTGTCCACCATTTCCCGGTCTGTCGAAAGGACGTGCCATGATGCAGTCCTGCTTTTCGACAAAAAGTGGAGGGGGGAAAAGGCAGAAACCTGTAAAGTAAACACGAACGTAACAATATTTCCACCGCGCGTCACGCAATCACAAAAGCTGCAATTATCGGATTTTCCGGACGAAATAAGCCAGGGGCTCTCAAGTGTAATTCCTGTCTTCTATTTCATGGGAACTAGTTTAATAAGAATTCCGCGTCTTAGTTCTATAAGACGTGCCTTAGTTCTATAAGACGTGTCTTTAGTTCTATATGACGTATTTAGGACCTAATCAGCGCGTACTATCGGAGGTTAACTTTTACACAAAAATAATCGATTCATTTTTTGTTTATTGTTTAAAGATATTTTATTTTTAAAACATGACTTTTAAAACTAATTATGATGTAAATAAAAGTAAATACTTCAAAGCTAGTTAACGTATAATATATTATTCTGCTGTATAAAACAGATACTCGCTTCACTAGTCTAACAATAAACGAACTTTTACAAAAATAGATAACTACCGCAATGAAATAAATCATTTGACACAAAGACCTTATGATTGGACATGTCCACACATCTAAACATGGCATTTTTTAATGAATTCAACCGGAGTACATCAATTGAGAATCCCTGCTGGCAGACATGACAGTAGTGCACAAACACGGGTCCCCGATTGATCGTGACGACAGGCAGATTGACATTTGACTTGATCTGCTGCCGATGACCTTCAAATGTTACATTGCCACAACCTGTAGGCGAGTACTACCACAAGATTTGGCTGTCCCGGTTCATTCTACGTCTGCTACATTCGAAGATGGGCGACTAATTTGTAAGTCTGCTACACTGAAGATGTCAGGATTGTAGTTGCGTTACATTGAAGGACGGTTAGATTGTAGGTTTGCTACTTGAAATGATTGGTATATTATACTTCGCCTACATTGAAGGGTGGCTAGATTCTAGGTCTGCTACAATAAACAATGACTAGCTTTTTAAGTTAAAATGACAAATACCAGGTGGTAACGACAAAAATACGTTAAAATTGAACGTATTTTTGTAGTTACCACCTGGTATTTGTTATTTTAGTTTGCTCTACTATGAAAGTATCAGATGTAAATGAAAGAGTGCGTGGCTTTATCATGAGATGGGTGTTAATAACGTTATTATTTTGTGGGGCATACATTTTAACTTTACTTAGAGATTCTTCTCACCTTCTGTACTGCTATCAGATTCCATCTGTTATTGATAACAACACACATTAAACAAAATATTGCATTTTGATTGGACTATGATCCGTGGTGTAACAAGGGTATGAGAATCACTGTCAAGGGTATGAGAATCACTGTCAAGGGTTTGAGAATCACTGTCAAGGGTATGATAATCACTGTCAAGGGTATGAGAATCACTGTCAAGGGTTTGAGAATCACTGTCAAGGGTATGATAATCACTGTCAAGGGTATGAGAATCACTGTCAAGGGTTTGAGAATCACTGTCAAGGGTATGATAATCACTGTCAAGGGTATGAGAATCACTGTCAAGGGTATGAGAATCACCGTCAAGGGTATGAGAATCACTGTCAAGGGTATGAGAATCACTGTCAAGGGTATGAGAATCACAGTAGTTAGTATGAACGTTGTGTGAGTTCGTGAATTGGTGTCATGAATGTTAGTATGGTGTCTGAATGATCATTGACAGGAATAGCATAATAAACATGTGTGTCGCTATAAGGCTGAGATAGGGAGAGTGAAGGAGAGAGAGTTGATTAAGGACATAGTCAGGGGACGTTCGTGAGGGATAGCTCCTGTGGATTTCGATAGACTGTGTAGTTACAAGGAGATACTGTAACAAGGGGAATCTGCCTGACAGATACACGGAATAAAGAAGAACCATAGACATTAACATCGACAAACTTCAGAAATACTCGAAGATGTTCGACTAGAGTAATCGAGAATATTAACATTAACAGGTGTTATACAAATTACATATATATAACAAGGGTGTTCTTGTACAAACTACCACTATGTAACAAGGGTGTTATTGTACAAACTACGGCTATGTAACAAGGGTGTTATTTTATTTGCCTTGGAGATTTTATTAGTTAGTCATGGAGAGTTATTAGCTTGGAGATTGTATTGGCTAGTCATGGAGTTATTTGTCTTGGAGATTTTATGAGCTAGTCATGGAGAGTTATTTGGCTTGAAGATTTTATGAGCTAGTCATGGAGAGTTATTTGGACATGTAACAATTGTGTTATACAAACTACAGCTATGTTACAATTGTGTTATACAAACTACAGCTATGTTACAATTTTGTTATACAAACTACAGCTATGTTACAATTTTGTTATACAAACTACAGCTATGTTACAATTGTGTTATACAAACTACAGCTATGTTACAATTGTGTTATACAAACTACAGCTATGTTACAATTTTGTTATACAAACTACAGCTATGTTACAATTGTGTTATACAAACTACAGCTATGTTACAATTGTGCTATGCAAACTACAGCTATGTTACAATTGTGCTATACAAACTACAGCTATGTTACAATTGTGTTATACAAACTACATCTATGTTACAATTGTGCTATACAAACTACAGCTATGTTACAATTGTGCTATAAAAACTACAGCTATGTTACAATTGTGTTATACAAACTACAGCTATGTTACAATTGTGCTATACAAACTACAGCTATGTTACAATTGTGTTATACAAACTACAGCTATGTTACAATTGTGCTATACAAACTACAGCTATGTTACAATTGTGCTATACAAACTACAGCTATGTTACAATTGTGCTATACAAACTACAGCTATGTTACAATTGTGTTATACAAACTACAGCTATGTTACAATTTTGTTATACAAACTACAGCTATGTTACAATTGTGTTATACAAACTACAGCTATGTTACAATTGTGTTATACAAACTACAGCTATGTTACAATTGTGTTATACAAACTACAGCTATGTTACAATTGTGTTATACAAACTACAGCTATGTTACAATTGTGTTATACAAACTACAGCTATGTTACAATTGTGTTATACAAACTACAGCTATGTTACAATTGTGTTATACAAACTACAGCTATGTTACAATTGTGTTATACAAACTACAGCTATGTTACAATTGTGTTATACAAACTACAGCTATGTTACAATTGTGTTATACAAACTACAGCTATGTTACAATTGTGTTATACAAACTACAGCTATGTTACAATTGTGTTTTACAAACTACAGCTATGTTACAAGGCTGTTGCTATTTTAGTAAGTTCATTAATGGTTAATGAAGCAAACGCCAATTTTTAAATTTTCTTTTCTTTTAATGAGTTTTTAAACGCACCATACGTGTATAAATTAGACTAATTCAAGTAATTCGCAATTAAGTGGAGGCTTTCGTAATAGAGAATTCAATTTCCTTATTAAGAAATTGTTAGAAAGGTTCGATTCATTTTTTGGTGTTGTTACAATTAATTTTATTTTTGTCTTTTCATTTTTAGAAATTTTTTTAATTTTTCAATCAAATGTTAAAATGTATAATCCCCGCAGGTTTTGCATCTTCATTTAAAGAAACATCTTCATGTATTTTTTTATTTGATGAACAGGTTTCGAAGATCCTTGCGGCAGTATGAGGGGACGAGCTTAAAAAGCTACAGCGGACATCAAGTATCGGGTCATTAGTAACAACGACAAATATCCCCAGCAGATGGTCAATAGGCCTAGACGTCTCCAAGTAGGAGTCAGCCAAGAGTCAGTGATAGGCATAGACGTGTACAAGTAGGAGTCAGCCAAGAGTCAGTGATAAGGAAGGTTGCTACGGGTACATGTACCTGCCGGCAGCTACAGTTGCCGGCGTCATGGCAACAGAAAACGCTGAGGAAGTAAAGCACCTGACTATTCAGCCGGAGGTTACATCGTCAACTGCCTCATCTATCTACATCCGATGGGCTTGGGAAGGCTTTCGTTCCGGCTATCCCAAAAACTTTATTGTACATTACAACAGGGTGGCGAGCAGTTACGTCCAAAGCAGTGGTATGTTGCCACCAACTACAGAGTCTTACGGGATAAGGAATCTTGTGGCCGACACATACTATAAGGTAGGTAATATCATACATATCAAGGTTCTGTTTTATAGTTTAGGCTCTAGGAGAACCTACAAGGTAAGAGCATAATATAATTGAAAAGTGGTCTTAGTGCACTATACAATGATGTAGAAAAATTAGTGATTTAATGTTAAACAAATTTATTAATTTAATTATTAACACATAACAATTTCTTTTTAATCTTATAATTCATGTGTAAAATTATTCATAATGCAAATGTAGGAACTAAATTTGCCTTCATCGAAATGAGAATTTAGAATTTCCATACCTTCATATTACCATCTTATTTTATCAGATTGTAATTGTTAGTGTGCTCCACTGTAATCAAGTAATTGAACTAATTACATTCAGTCAATCCGTTCTTCTACACAGGTCTGTGTGACGATGTACCACAACGAAACAGAAATCCCTCTCGAGGAATGCATTGAGGCTGCTACAACGAGCTGGCACATTCCAGTCTCAATAGGATCAAGTATTGGCGCAGTTCTCGCCCTCTCCATCATCGTCCTCATAGTCCTGTTATCCCGATGCCCGAACCTCGTCCGGCAACCTCGCACCGCAGCCGCCGAATCCAGCAAGTACGACTCCATGTCATCCCACTTCCCCGACGACCGTTACGAGATGAGCGACACTACAACACACTGTCACGACCATGACAGGGACGACGACGTCTTCTCTCAGAACAGCGAGGGTGACAGCCTCGCCGACTCAAAGTCGGCATCAAGGCACAACCATCACCACTCACCTCAAAGTCTCGCTGAGAGGGTTTGCAACGGGAACAAAATACTCAACGGTATTGGAAAGCCTTCCCGAGCTAATATCCCTCTGGGCCGTTGTGGGCGAACGTTGTCTCTGACTGAAAAACGCAACCAGCCGAGCCACCCATATCGCATGAGACAAGCGAGACTTGCACATATGCACGCTCATTTTCACTCCATACAGTCAGAGCCTGGCAGCATTCCCACGCGAGCAGCGCCGCGCATTAGCATTACAGACTTGCAGGCGTCCACCCAAAGTTCGGACTTTGCGTCTTCTCGTCAGAGCCATCATCACTCCAGCATGCCTGGAAACAACCTCAATAACGGAAAGGGCTCGCTGAACCACTGTGGCCATTTCAAAGGGATCGGGAATAGGGACACGCCGAGGCTGGCGTCCAAGACTGACACGGCCACTTCTGCATCAGATCCTACGGTGGCGGAAACTGTAGGTAGCGCGTCAAGGGCAAAACCACCTGTTTTGAAATATATTTCTAAAACCCTTCATATGAGCATTGATGGAGATACCTTGGTTTGAGTGTAAGGATTACGTTACTATACGTTTGATAAACTCCATGGTTGTGTTATGAAATTGAAGAGTTACATATGTCATAGACAAAAACGTTACTCAATGTGTATCAACAAAAGAGAAGTGATGGGCTACATCTGCACTATTCCACATGAAGCTACTTCTTTACACACCTCACCATGCCACTTGGCGTCATTAATACAACTCGATTCAGGAAAGTGGTCATAAACTAGATCACGCTTTCTTAACTTCTTTTGTTCCAAGGACCCTTTGCCAGTCAGATGAAGGCTACGGACCCCATTTTGCCAGTCAGATGAAGACAACGGACCCCTTCTTACAATAAGGTTTCAGAAAGAGGATCCAGAATGATCAATAACTTGATCGTGGGCCCTCAAAAGATAGAAGAGAAGAAGAAAACATAATTACCAGAAAAAGCATCTCACGGATCCCCTGACCACCGTTTTTCAGAGTCTGCGGAACAAAGGTTGAGACCACCTTTTTTCAGGGCCTGTGGACCAAAGGTTGAGACTACCTTTACTAGACGTTTACAAGTGTCCAGTGATACGATTTTTAAAAATCTTTGGAATACTAAGCTATAAATTTGATCTACATTTAAAATCTCCAGCATAAATCTTGTATCCTAAACATTCTACATTCTTAGGCAAGTACTGGTATCAGTCTGAAGTCATGGAAATAGCTCAGAGGAAATGTGTTGTAATAGAGGTGCCATGGACTTCTTGTCTATGAATTTGGATTAATTTTTTTTTTAACAAACACATTTTTTGTGTGTATTGGTTACTATATAAGTCTTCTGTAATATCTCTTTGTAACAAATATTATATCTGATTACTTAATTGTTGGGTGAATCTACATTAGGTCATTTCGTCACTGTCCCGTGTACCTCGAGTGACCTCAGTGTGATCTCCCAAAAATCGTGTGACATCAATCTACATCGGCATCACATCGTCCTTGTCCTTCTGCCCATCCTATAATAACAGGGCATGTAAGGCGCGAGCTTCATAGAATCTTAAGATATTGGGTAAATAATGTCAGTAGTCAAAGAATCTTAAGATATTGGGTAATTAATGTCAGTAGTCATGGTATCTTAACACATTGGGTAAATAATGTCGGTAGTCATAGAATCATAACATATTGGGTAAATAATTTCAGTAGTCATAGAATCTGAACACATTGTGGGCATGATTTTTGGTTGAAGGTTAACGCAGCACGAAGACATGTTTACTTCTCAAGCCACCGCAAGGTTGCAGTTTCGGTTAAGAGAGAAAAGAAATAGTTCACCTAACAATGTGGACATCCGCTGTTCTAAAAACATAAGTAAATAGAAGTTGGTGTTTATTCTCGAAAATGAATTTGAATTACGTGCTTGAAATGGAATGAAGTAAAATGAATAATTACAGTGAGTGACAATGTGAATATCTTAGATAACATTAATTTTGTTAACCTGGTGTATACAGGTAAATTTTTAAAAATAAATTAAAATATTGTCAAAATATAATATAAGAGATGTGAACAATTTAGTATTTTAAGCATGTAATATATGGATAGACCTTAAACAGAGAGTCATACATGTCAGAGAAAATATACCTAACTTAAACAATTTAAATAACAATACCGTAAGTTTGTTCAGATTATTATGTAAAAACTGTATTTGTGACTTTGGAAATGTGTAATTATTATTTCTGCATGTGACATTAAACAGCGTTCTTCCAGAGCAAGTATATAGTGATATGTGTCCTTTAAGTGCACCACTATAGCCACCTTTATAAATAAAATCATAGAGGTAGGGTTCTCATCTGAATAGTGAGATTAACTCAGGTTTTCTTCATACAGAGAAAACAACGGTCGTGAAGACAAATCAATGTTCCCTCTAGCACGTTACACCCTACATATTATCTAGGAAGCTAGCACACAACAATGTACAGCGCGCATATTAACATTTAGAGAATGTCTTTTTTATAGTGAATATTAATATACATTACATTTTCCTACCAATTTTTCAAGGGCTGTCCATTGTAAATAAAAAAAAATTAACAAATAAATATTTAAAAACTCCACAACGCAAAACTGTATGTATAGGGCGACTGATTATGGCACTGAGGTGCACACTATGGCACTGAGGTGCACACTATGGCACTGAGGTGCACACTATGGCACTGAGGTGCACACTATGGCAATGAGGTGCACACTATGGCACTGAGGTGCACACTATGGCACTGAGGTGCACACTATGGCACTGAGGTGCACACTATGGCACTGAGGTGCACACTATGGCACTGAGGTGCACACTATGGCACTGAGGTGCACACTATGGCACTGAGGTGCACACTGTGGCAATGAGTTCCACAACGTTTTCAGTAGGCATTCCGTATACCAGGGGTCTCAAACTCGCAGCCCATTTGCGGCCCGCACGACGATATTTTGCGGCCCGCTTCTGACAGAAAAGTTCAGTGTTAATGCGGCCCGCACGTTTTCCCCACTCTCATATCTATAATGTGACCCTCCGCGACGGTTTCAGTTGAAGCTCACCAACTAATCTGATTTTGATTTTTATTATGTTTATATAGCTTTGGACGTTGATTGTAATGGCAAAACCCGCTTTTAAATCCACAAAAATTTATTTGACAGTATTTCATGAGAAAAACATGGCCAAAGTGCGGTTTTGAGAAAGGTTTAAAAAGTCACTTAGTGGGTCATGCACAACCATAATTGTGTAAATCGTAGCAATCGGATACAGTGTCAAATAATCCCTATTAAAATTGCCGCTAGTGTAAAAGAGTGTGGGAAATTCTGAGCCTGTCAGCTTGGTCACTTTCAAAATATGGTTAGTCAAAAGGCCTTTTAGACGATACAACATCAAAATTCATTCTCCTTACAATAGCATCTTCTTTCTCATCAATAATTCATAAATATTGCCTGCTCCTACCTCTGTTTGAACACGTTTTAGCCTTCAAGGCCTTCATGGAAAAGGATGTGGTAGTAGTCCCTGTACTAAGTTATCCCAAATGGCTCATGGACTTGGCTTTTCTTGTTAACATTACATAGGAGCTGAATATTTTCAAAAAGAGGTTTTAAGACCAGGGAAGCTTGTCAGAATGCCAATGACGATGTCAGGGCATTCTGCAAAAAAACGTGTGCTATGAAACCTCTGCCATTTCCCAAAATGCAAAGTACTCATGGATCCAGCAGGCGCACCATTATGTAGTATGTATACTGATGCCATTGTAAAGCTACAGAAAGAATTTAATCAAATATTTGCAGACTTCAAAACACACAGAGCCATTTTTCATATTTTTGCTGACCCTTTCTCCTTCAATGTGGGCGATGCCACCCCACCCCCCCCCCCACCCCCCATATTTGCGCTTCAAACGGAGCTGATTGACATTAAGAGCAATTCTGAACTCAAAGCTAAGTTCAGGGAGGTGAATGGAAAAACAGACAAGCATGGACAATATATGAGAGCATTGTCCTCCGCCTTCCCTGGGATATCCAGGTTGTTCCTGCGGATCATGTGCCTTTTTGGGAGTACCTATCTGTGTGAAAAGCTCTTTTCCAATATGAATTTAACTTTAACAAGTCAAGTTTCAGGACCAAACTTACTGATGAGCATCTTCAAGCTATACTGAGGGTCTCAGTTGCTTCCTCCCTCAAGCCAAATGTTGCTCAGTTGTGTAAGAAGAAGCGCTGCCAGGTCTCTAGCAACAAGGAGTAGGAGGAATAAAGTGCAGCCTAGTTCTTGAGAACCCCTAATGTTTGTGTTTGTTATTAGTAAGGGTTGAGTGGATTTTAACAGTTGTACTTTATTGAAATTGTAATCGCTTTTTTTAAAATTCTTGATGCGCCCCAGTCTCACTCAGACTATAGCTCCTGCGGCCCTCGGATGAATTGAATTTGAGACCCCGGCCGTATACATACTTCATTGCATAATTTAAAAATAAAAAACATTGATCAATGGGCATTCTAAGGCCACAAAACTCATTTATGACCATTCACATAAATATACAAGTGGTGGGCACCAAAAAATAGAGAAATAAAGAGGGGTTTCAATACATAAATATCACAAATACTTAATTGGACCCCGGATTATGTCTTCTGAAATAATTAGCATAAGCATATATTGCTACGGAAGTGGTACACCTATTATATATAATGTAATGGTGAAGCTAAGTTCAACCTTCAGATATCATAAAGTGGGACCTATAGACTAGAAGAAACTTTCAGCTAGGTTTATCTCGAACTTGTGTGTACAAAAGATACGTAATTGCTGTTTGTAGCATTCCGTCAACTAAAACCAATAAAATTCAATATTTTTGTATCATATTTGTGTAAATACTCTATAAACATTATCAGACCTGTTTACTCTTACGATTTTGGCGTACAGTGTACGATTTTGAGGTTTATACATTGTATATACTGTATTATTATTTCTTTTACTATTAAGATAATGTGTTGAATGATTTTTTATGATATTGTACGATTTTAGGAGTTTGGGGGTAAACATATCTGCAATATCATAACTAAACTTGTGCAGCTTACAAATTTTACATTTGATATCATGTGTCCCTCTGTGTCCGGTTTATAAAATGTACTGTCATGATGTCAAGAAAATTACACGTGTCATGACAACCCTTTTTGGTGTTTTTATCATGCCACATACATATCGCGTTGTCAGTCGCTACTCTATTTTTATACTATGTCAAATCTATGTCATGATTTCTTAATGCTCCCCTAAGCACTTCTAATTTCTTGTTACCTATGACCCAGACTAAGACGACAGTTTCGATCAAACACTCTAATTCAAACAAATATTTCAGGAGCAGACTTGTATTGGTTCAGATTTTAGTGATGCCTGTACAATGTATTACAATTCATAAAATCAAAGTCAAAGAAGCCAACAAAACAAAACATGTCCAATAAATTATAACATAATTTTCATGCAACAAAATAAAGCTACAATGTTATAAATGACTTCATTTAAATGAACACCGCAATATCTGATACTAAAAAGGAAACACTAAACAGCTAAGCCTTGAGTGCTCGCAAACTTTTTTTTACCATGAGCTCATTGATATTTTAACACTTGGATTTCTTTTTGCCACTCATCCACTACACAACGGTTGCACGGGACCTAACTTAACTAAGTTACATGGCTCAGACTGACATGTACGGTTTATTGGCAAATACGTTGTGACATTTCCATCACTTCAAAGATATTTATCTAATACTAATAAATAGTAATGGCTCATTCAAATAGGCACTGTTAACAATTCTGACAAATTCACATTCATGATTCTGAGATTCTAATTAAATATTGATAAGCACGTCCAAGGTCCTAAATAAAATACATGTGCTGAGCTGGTTGGTATGCAGTGCATAGCAATGTGAGTACAAGAAAATAGTATGAGTATACGGAAGCTTGCAGTACTGACGAACAGTGCATGTCAATATGAGTACCAGAGAGCTTACACAA